AGGCGCTGCTATAGTAAACCATGCTATGGGCACATACCCACATTCACAAGTCTTGTTCTTATATAGAAATTAGTAGTATTCCACCATATATAGTTTACTGCAATATTTAGATTACTTTGTCATTGTCATGCCTAGGTTATAGGAGAATTACCAACGAAGGCGTTACAAATAGTGATGCACCGAACGGTTCGCCGGCGAACAGTTCCCAGCAAACATAGTGTGTTCGCGTCCGCCGCGGATGGCGAACAGATGCGCGGTTCGATCCGCCCCCTATTCGTCATCATTGAGTAAACTTTGACCCTGTACCTCACAGTCAGCAGACACATTCCAGCCAATTAGCAGCACACCCCCCCTAGCAGACCCTCCCACCTACTGGAAGGCATCCATTTTACATTCATTCTCAAGCTGCATGCTTAATGAGAGGAGGGAAAGTGTAGCTGCTGTTGATTAGATAGGGAAATGCATAGCTAGGTTAGGGTATACAGTGTCCACTACAGTCCTGAAGGACTCATCTGATCTCTGCTGTAAGGACAGCACCCCCAAAAAGCCCTTTTTAGGGCTAGAACATCAGTCTGCTTTTTTTTTTTTCTGTGTAATGTAATTGCAGTTAGTTGTCTGCCACTGCTGCCAGCTTCTGTGTCAGGCTCACAGTGGATATTGTGCCCAGTGCCACCACTCACTCACTGGTGTCACAATAGCTTGCATTTAAAAACAAAAAACTTTTTTCACTGTTATAGATTGAATAGCAGTCAGTTGTCTGCCACTGCTGCCAGCTTCTGTGTCAGGCTCACAGAGCATACTGTGCCCATTTCCCCAGTCAGTGCCACCAATTACATCTGGTGTCACAATAGCTTGTATTTAAAAACAAAAAACACTTTTTTCACTGTTATAGATTGAATAGCAGTCAGTGTCCTTAAAGCGGATGTGTCAGGCTCACAGTGGACACTGTGCCCAGTGCCACCACTCACTCACTGGTGTCACAATAGCTTGCATTTAAAAACAAAAAACTTTTTTCACTGTTATAGATTGAATAGCAGTCAGTGTCCTTAAAGCTGGTGTGTCAGGCTCACAGTGGATACTGTGCCCAGTGCCACCACTCACTCACTGGTGTCACAATAGCTTGCATTTAAAAACAAAAAACTTTTTTCACTGTTATAGGTTGAATAGCAGTCAGTGTCCTTAAAGCGGGTGTGTCAGGGTCACAGTGGATACTGTGCCCATTTGCCCAGTGCCACGACTCATATCTGGTGTCACAATAGCTTAAGCTTGACATTTAAAAAGAAAAAAAAATGTTTTCACTGTAATAGATTGAATAGCAGTTAGTTGTCTGCAAGCGTCTGGGTGTCAGGCCTCCTTCAGAGTGTGCTCTGCAGACCTCTACCCGTCTACTTTGCCACTCATATCTGGTGTCTCTATAGCGTGCTTTTACAAAGAAAAAAAGTTTTTCAGTGTAAGCTAATAGCAGTCAGTGTCCTTAAAGCGGGTGTCAGGCCTCCTTCAGCGTGTGCTCTGCAGACCTTTGCCCGTGTACTTTGCCACTCATATCTGGTGTCTCTATAGCGTGCTTTTACAAAGAAAATTTTTTTTCAGTGTAAGCTAATAGCAGTCAGTGTCCTTAAAGCAGGTGTCAGGCCTCCTTCAGCGTGTGCTCTGCAGACCTCTGCCAGTGTACTTTGCCACTGTAACGGATCGCCTGGCACCCCGACTGGGTACCTCCGTTGAAAGATGCTCCTAGCGCTTCCTGAGGACTCCAAGCACTGCAGCCGACACCACAATCACCGAACCAGAGAAGCGTATACCTTCTCTCAAGCATATGAATGCTGTAGACAGTTGAATAGGAACCATACGAATAGGTTTACTCTCCCAGCAGTCAAACTGGAACAGCATACAATAAATCCTTCCCCCAATAATGAGACGACACTTCACTTTGAGGGTTAAAACAGGAACTCTCTGTAATGGCCACACACTGGCTTTTATGCAAGTCCCCATGCAAGGGGACATCCCACAGGGTGGGACACAGTACAACCAATCGTTACAGGGGAACCGTAAAACACACCCACAATTACATCCCAGGGGCCATAGTCACATGGCAGGAGGCTGGCAACCAGGCTTCTCCAGTGCATAGTGGCGAGGTTGGTTCCGCCACACTTCTCCCCTTTACCAATCAGACTAACAGGGTATCTGACCTCCTGCCGGTCAGTGCCCTTGTTAGTCCAGCAGCCCACCCACAAAACACAATCAGTAATACAACCCACCCACAATAACTGGCTACTACACCTGGGTAGAGGAGAACTTTGTCCGTGTCCAGGTGCCTCACCATGGCTGTGTGGGTGACTGGTAAGCGTACTGGGTGGGTTGCTGAGTGGGCAGAGAACAGCGGTACTCTGTCCTGGTGCCAGCACTACCATGGGAGTAGTCTGGTTGGAGCCTGGTTGCTGGAGGGGGAGACAGACTGTCTCCCCTTTGCCTAAACAGTCCTGCTGCTGGGGGACAGGACCGACTGTCCCTACCCCCGGTGGTGCATGTGCAGAGACCACTGTCCCATCTGTACTGTTGTGGAGATTACTGTCTCCCCTTGGTGGGCTAAGCTGCCACTGGGGAGAGGGGGTAACAAGCTCCTCTCCCATACATACTTTCAGCCGCTGGGGAGAGGGGATAACAAGCTCCTCTCCCTGACACTCTCTCTGCTGTTGAAGGGGAAGACCGACTGTCTCCCCTTTCAATAATTTGTCCTGTTGCTGGGGAGAGGTGATAACTGGTTCCTCTCCCTGGAACACTCTCTGCTGTTGGAGAGGGGGACCAACTGTCTCCCCTTTTAATATATTGTCCTGCTGCTGGGGAGCGAGACCGACTGTCTCCGCTTCCTGCAGGACACACTGCCGCTGGGGAGGAAGGACTGCACCTTCCGTTCCCTGGGGTACACATTGGGGAAGGTTTAATGCACCTTCTGCTCCCTGTGTTACATCGCTGGGGAGGAAAGACTCCACACCTTCAGCTCCCCTGGGATACACACACCTCCGCCGCTGGGAGGAAGGACGCAACCTCTGTTCCCTTTGAGGCACACACCGCCGCTAGAGGAAGCTGACCACACCTTGGCCCCTGAGACACACACTGCCGTTGGGGAGGAAGGACGACACCTTCAGCTCCCTGGGATACACACTGCCGCTGGAAAGGAAGGACGGCACCTTCAGCTCCCTGGGACACACACTGCCGCTGGGGAGGAAGGACGACACCTTCAGCTCCCTGGGACACACACTGCCGCTGGGGAGGAAGGACGACACCTCTCCAGCCCTGAGCCATCACAGCATTCCATCCTTCTAGCTCCTGGGACACACTGCCACTCTCGGGAGTGAAGGACCCATGCACTCCTTCAGCTCCCTGGGAGTTACATACTACCCGCTTGGGAGGGAAGGCTCAAAATCCTCTCAGCTCCCTGGGACACACACTGTCAGCTGGGAGGAAGGCCACACACCCCTTATTCTGGGACTTTACACTGCCTGGGGAGGAAGGACAACACTTCAGCCCCCTGGGGTACACACTGCCTAGAGAAGGAAGGACGGCACCTCCCAGCTCCCTGGGATACACACCGCTGGGGAGTGAAGACAGCAATCTCTGCTCCTGGGGTACACTCACTGGCCGCCTGGGGAGCGTGAAGTCACTCACACCCCCAGCTCCCTGGGATACACACACCTATAAAGTTTATCTACACCTTTGGCCCTGGGACTCACACACACTGCCGCTTGGGAGGAAGGACGACACCTTCTGCTCCCTGGGGTACACACTGCCGCTGGGGAGGAAGGACGACACCTTTGGCTCCCTGGGACTCCTTTTTGGCCAAATCTACTAGAGATTGCAGGTATTCTCCTACTAGTTTCCTGGCGAGCTGCACGGCTCTCTCTGGGGGGTTGGGTCCAAAGGTAGACAGCACCTCATTAACCCCTCTGTCAAACTCCTCCTGAGTGTAGTCATACGCCATGCTTGCTCTGCTGAAGTTAGTTCTTTTGTAGATAGGGTCGCTGTACGGGTACTAGCGTTGCCCTCAATTTGTAAATCCACGAACTGTGTCTCCGAGCTGCTTTACCTCGCACTAGGACGCCATCCCACCGCTGCCACCAATGTAACGGATCGCCTAGCACCCCGACTGGGTACCTCCGTTGAAAGATGCTCCTAGCCCTTCCTGAGGACTCCAAGCACTGCAGCCGACACCACAATCACCGAACCAGAGAAGTGTATACCTTCTCTCAAGCATATGAATGCTGTAGACAGTTGAATAGGAACCATACGAATAGGTTTACTCTCCTAGCAGTCAAACTGGAACAGCATACAATAAATCCTTCCCCCAATAATGAGACGACACTTCACTTTGAGGGTTAAACAGGAACTCTCTGTAATGGCCACACACTGGCTTTTATGCAAGTCCCCATGCAAGGGGACATCCCACAGGGTGGGACACAGTACAACCAATCGTTACAGGGGAACCGTAAAACACACCCACAATTACATCACAATCCCTCCTCTCTGTCCAGGAGATAAGTGTGAAGTAATCCAATTATCTACCAGGACAGAGGCAAGACTCCATTAACCACATGGCAGTAACAATACAATAAAAGACATACAATTACATACAGTTACATTTATTCCATAAAACATAGACATTTTACATATCCCCAGATAGTTTAGATCTGAGTGCACATTACTACTGAATGGCGCTCAGATCACATAAATACAGTTCAATTGCCATGGAGCCAAAGTCTTTCATACGGTCTTTCAGCATACGGCTGGGCTCCATGGCATGGCTATCTGGGGTAGCATGGCTTTAACAGTCTATAGAAAGGTAAGGATGCTTTATGTAGAGCGAATTGTTGAGGCTGCTAGCCCAAAGCGGTTGCGCTGAGCAACCAGGCTCCTCCAGTGGACAGTGGCAAGGCTGGTTTCGCCACATTTCTCCCCTTTACCATCCAGACTAACAGGGTATCTGACCTCCTGTCGGTCAGTGCCCTGGTTAGTCCAGCAACCCACCCACGAAGCACAAACAGCAGTACCTCCCACCCACAATAAATGTTTACCCCACCTGGATAAAGTAGCAGCTTGTCCAGGTCCAGGTTCCTTACCACGGCTGTGCGGGGAGCTGGTAGACTGCCTTGGTGGGTTGCTGAGTGGGCAGAGACCAGCGGTACTCTGCCCTGGTGCCAGCGCTACCACTGAAGTAGCCTGGTTGGAGCCTGGTTGTGGGAGGGGGAGACCGACCGTCTCCCCTCTGGGTACACAGCTCTGGGGCTGGGGGACAGGACCGACCCTCCCTACCTCTTGTGCTGCAAGTGCAAAGACTACGGTCCCATCTGCACTGTTGGGGGTGTAACATCTCCCCTTGGTGGGTTAGGCTGCCGCTGGAGAGAGGGTGTAACAAGCTCCTCTCTCTGAACTGTAACCTGCCGCTGGGGAGAGGGGGTAGCAGGCTCCTCTCCGTGACACTCTCTCTGCTGGTGGTGAGGGGGACCAGCTGTCTCCCCTTTCAATATTTTGTCCTGCTGCTGGGGTGCGAGACTGATGGTCTCTGCTCCCTGCAGGACACGCTGCCGCTGGGGAGGAAGGACGACACCTTCAGCTCCCTGGGATACAATCTGCCGCTGGGGAGGAAGGATGACACCTTCAGCTCCCTGGGACTCACTTGACCGCTGGGGAGAGGGACCAACTGTCTCCTCTCCTAAGAACACACACTGCCGCTAGGGAGGAAGGACGACACCTTCAGTTCCCTGGGATACACACTGCCGCTGGGGAGGAAGGACTGCACCTTCAGCTCCCTGGGATACACACTGCCGCTGGGGAGGAAGGACTGCACCTTCAGCTCCCTGGGATACACACTGCCGCTGGGGAGGAAGGACTGCACCTTCAGCTCCCTGGGATACACACTGCCGCTGGGAAGGAAGGACTGCACCTTCAGCTCCCTGGGATACACACTGCCGCTGGGGAGGAAGGACTGCACCTTCAGCTCCCTGGGATACACACTGCCGCTGGGGAGGAAGGACTGCACCTTCAGCTCCCTGGGATACACACTGCAGCTGGGGAGGAAGGACTGCACCTTCAGCTCCCTGGGACTTACTCTGCCGCTGGGGAGGAAGGACGACACCTTCAGCTCCCTGGGATACACCTTTGAGTCCCCGTAACGCACTCTGCCACCGGATAGGGCGGCCGATACCTTTGGCTGGATCTGCCATGAACTACAGGTACTCGTCTACCTGGCTCCTTACGAACTGAACGTATTTCTCCGGGGGGTTGGGTCCAAAGAAAGCCAGCCGCATGGTAAACTCTCTGTCATACTGCTCCTGAGTGTAGCTGGGTGCCATGCTTGCGCTGCTGACGTTGGTTCTTTTGTAGATAGGGTCGCTGTACAGGTACTGGCGTTGCCCTCAATTTGTAATCCAGGAACTGGTGTTGTATTATAGCTGTCCTTCTGGGCTGTGGAAATGATCCTGTCGCTTGCCACCAATTGTAACGGATCACCTGGCACCCCGACTGGGTACCTCCATTGAAGGATGCTCCTAGCGCTTCCTGAGGACTCCAAGCACTGCAGCAGACACCACAATCACCGAACCAGAGAAGCGTATACCTTCTCTCAAGCATATGAATGCTGTAGACAGTTGAATAGGAAACCATACGAATAGGTTTACCCTCCTAGCAGTCAAACTGGAACAGCATACAATAAATCCTTCCCCCAATAATGAGACGACACTTCACTTTGAGGGTTAAAACAGGAACTGACTGTAATGGCCACACACTGGTTTTTATGCAAGTCCCCATGCAAGGGGACATCCCACAGGGTGGGACACAGTACAACCAATCGTTACAGGGGAACCGTAAAACACACCCACAATTACATCACAATCCCTCCTCTCTGTCCAGGAGATAAGTGTGAAGTAATCCAATTATCTCCCAGGACAGAGGCAAGACTCCATTAACCAAAGTCTTTCATACGGTCTTTCAGCATACGGCTGGGCTCCATGGCATGGCTATCTGGGGTAGCATGGCTTTAACAGTCTATAGAAAGGCATGAATACGCTATGCAGGGAAAATAAAAGGTTTTAACTGCCGGGCCATAGCCTAAAGGGAGCAGGCGAGCAACCAGGCTTCTCCAGTGGACAGTGGCGAGGCTGGTTTCGCCACACCACTCATCTAATGAAAAAAATATATTTGGGTCTTATGATGTCACCATACCACCATTCATTTTGAGTACCATTAAACCACTTTTCTTTTTGGAAGCAAATGGACAATAATATAACAATGATGTAGGGCCCCCTAATTGATACTGGTTGTGTTGTCAAAAGATCTGTTAGCATTGTTGTTTGAACAAATACATTTAAACTTTGGGACTTTATTTAAACAAAAATAAAAAAATAAAATTTTAGATAAGGGATATAAAACTGCTCCCCAGCCTCTACATGTGTAAGGACAGCTGCCAAATTCTCTGAAAGTAATAGAATATGGGAGAAATGTTTGGAGATGCAATCTAACATCTGGGAGTGGTACAGTGATAGTTTATTATTTCAATATCCATGAACTTACAAGACACAATGTTTAGACACAGGCAACAAACCACTTGCTTGATTTGCCAATTGCAGATATTTACTCAAGGCAAAATGTAAAGAGGATTACTTAATCTGCGGTAATTTAAAATTGTAATGTCTTCCCCAACAAGGTAGTGGGAGAACTGGGGGTAAAATGAGTCAATGGAGCCTTACCAATAGCATCAGTATTGAGGCTGCCACCTTTCACACTCTCGAAGACAGGGGTAGCCCCAGAAAATACAGGCCTCAATCGGGAGACAGGAGCCTAAGACAGAGTTGTGGACCCCCCCGTAGAGCTCTCCACTTAGCTTAGTGTATCACGGGGTGCCTAAAGGCCAAATAGGGGTTACTGTACCTATCCCATACCCTCTGTTTGCTTTGGTTATACATGTTTTCCATTTTGTTAAGTTATAACTTTAGTTGATCGTTATTATATCTATGCTGGCTAAGAAAGTAAAGAGATGAGAAAGGGGTGTGAGTGTGCATGGGATACATCAGAAAAACTTGTTGGTGTTATACCAGGGTGTATAACTCTGGTTGCCAAAGGGCCTCAGACAGGGATAGCTTAATGTGTTGAGGGGACTCTGAATGCACTTGATACGTGTCCACTTGCAGCAGCAATACCCACAGCATGGGGCTTCAGGGGTAGGTTGCTACGCACCTTCCACGGTTTGAGTTAGCATATTGCGTGGTAGCCACACGGGAGGAGAAATATATCTGAAAAAGCCTGGAGCATGGGCGTAGTATGAATGGGGACAGTATATATGTTCTATTGGTCACGTTTTAGCTGCTGTTTTATACACACCATGGTTTACTGTACTACAATGTGATATGATTTATGTTTATCTGTATTGTCAAAATGTGTGGAAGCATTCCAGATCAAAAAAAATAAATAAAGAATTTAAAATTGTCATGTTACATAAAAATGCTCAGATTTTCACGTGGGCATAACAGAAAAGTTGCCCCCTAAATGTTAATCATCCATATATAAAACATTTAGGGGGACCAAGCATGTTTTGTGTAATTTAAAATCCAAATCTAAGGAATGTGATACAATTGCATGATGTAACATTATGGCAAGTCTGTGTCGTGTTTGTATAGCTATTTTCCCTCTCAGCATCATCTGTGGGTGAGAGATACAGGGAACATTTACAAACTTAAGCAACTGCTTATTTGTTAGCTCCTCGAGAGCCTGTGAGACAAACATAGTCATCAGGCCTGCATTTGCTTAGCCCTGTTTAATTGTACCTGTCAGCATCATGAGAGCAAGGGATACTGACACCCATCCTGCTTTTTGCTGATGATCTCAGCCAGTTGGCACACTAATGGGATTATATTACATGGTGATTAGCACTAGGATATTAGTTGGATATCACAGGTGTACAGAATTTGTTCTAACAGCAGCTGTTTGGAACACCTTGTTACCTTGCACCATAAAATGGGGGAAGCCTGTAGAGGACATTTGGGGTTCCCCAATAATGGCTTTGTTTATAGGCCTAAACGCAAGGCAACCTGTCAATGACAGGCAGAATGTCTCCCCAGTTATCTGTGAAATCCAGGATTCACTGTGCTCTGAATGAAATACCAGTGTCAACATCAAAAGCTGCATCCGTCCTAGTATAGCAGCACATTCAGGTGGGATGAGAAGCCTGCAGAGTCTGATGCCTGTCCGACATCAAACAGACAAGGACTGAAAGATGAGGCATGGAGAGGCTCTCAGCACCAATTTAACAGGATCATCTTTCACTCAAGTGGATAATTCAGTGCTGCTAAAGCAGGCAAAGTCTAATAAGGCTTTTTATCCATTATTATCCCTGTCACCGTTTGCTTCGCTTGTATTTTCGGCCCCTGCAGCAGCAAAGAGTTATTATCTATTTTTACATAGCTGTGAACGAAAGGCTGCATTGTACAATGTATTATAATGGCTGTGACAGCAACCGGTAGCAATGCTGTTTCCCCAAATGATGTTACCTGTAAGGGACATGCCAGCTAGTTACAGCTGTGAGGTCAGTGGAGGC